GTGGCTCAAGCAGCGGTGGGTTTCACCACTTGATAATTAGAAAATTATTTACACAGTAAGAGGAAGAAGTCATTTAGCTATTAGAATAGATTGCTACTAGATGTTTCTGCGAAAAGCTCCTTATGCTCACATAAACAGCTGAACAGGAAGTGACAAGTCATGCTGCTAAAACCTTGAAATCGTTCCACTTCTGCTTTTATACAGAAAGAGTTAGTCCACAATACTTCCAAATATTCCGTTTAATAGTACCTTGCAGTACTTTTGATAAGAAATATAAGGATTTCTGATTGTCCTTGTTAAACATTACTGCATTACATATTGAACATAAAAGAGAGAAGAGACCCACTCCTCCTTGGTGATTTGAAGTGATCATTTCCAAAATGTGACATACTTGGGAAGCATATTTGATTATTTAATGATTATTAAATTATAGTTTTACTTTGTAGGACCTAACTAAGCAGTATCAGTCCATTTATTTAAAAAAAAACATTCTTAATGAAATCATGTATATTACATTACATTACTTGTCACTTATGAAACACTTTTATCCATAGCAACTTACAAACATTCAATACTGTGGGCCATCCCCACAGGAGCAATTGTGGGTGAAGTGTCTTGCCACAATATAAATAGTAAGTGATTATATACGTATGTAGGCCAAAAGCAGAAACTTAAAGAATTACAATTCAGCTTTTTCGTGAAAAATTTGCTCAAAGCAATACTTGTAAAAAGTCCCTACTGTTCTTGGGAGCACAATAAATCAAAGGATTATTTCCTCTCTGAAAAACTACCAAACATCAGACTGATTTGTGTCACAGTTTGGACTCAGTGGAGCGGAGAGAGCAGATGAGCATGAATCCTCTTAGTCTGAAGTTTACCTCTGCATTATTTCCCTGAAAGATTTTTGCAAAAGAGAGAACTTAGTATGTCTTATCTCCTTCCTTTATCACAGATGATCATGCAGAACTTTGCCAGCATGACTCGTGACTTATTGTCTTTTCAATCATTTTTCAGAAGTTTTTTGACGTTGATGATATGCCAATAGTTCTTAGTGGCTTTACGCTTGTGAAATTAATCACCACTCAACTGTTATGTCCTTAAAATTACCCTTTAAAGGGGCCCTATGATGCTTATTTACAGGTTTCATATTTGTAGTTTGTGCCTTTACTATGACATGTTTACATGCTTCAATGTTCAAAAAGCTCTTTATTTTTCGTATACTAGCGAGATTTCAGTCTGCTCTGATTGGTTAGCTGGCAGGCTCGGTTGTGACAGCTTATGGCGCTTTTCCACTGCAGGACCTAGCACGGCTTAGCACAGCTTAGTTTGGCCTTGGTAGGCCAGGCTCACTTTAAGCTGCGTTTCCATTACAGTTTAGTAACTGGGGTAGTTACTATAGTAACGCAGTGTAGGCGGGGCGATCGGCTGTTCGGCGGGCGGAGCGTCGCTGCGTAAAACTGCCGTGACCTCATCTTCAATGCGAACCACAAAACCAAAACATCCGCCACTAGCTGTTAGCACTCAGAGCTCAGAGCTCCTCATATCTGTTCAGAAACTAGACAAAAGTTAAACAAGTACAAACCACAGACGGTCTGTGTCATGGTGAATAAAGTCGTTGGTTTATTTATGTCTGTAGGTCGTTGTTGTGAGTGTGGACGGAGCATATACAACGTTAGCTTAGCCTGATCGATCCGATCTCCATTCAGAAAACACGCATTTTAAAAGGTTTTTCGCCTGCCGTCTTGTCTGCAGACCGGTATCAGTATGTTGTTACTTCGGCATCAGTGTGAAACGTGTATTACAATTAAATCACGTTAAAATATGTTCATTTTGTTGTAGTTGTAGCCCCCTTGCCAGCGATTCTCTCTGACCATTCAGCAGTTGAGTGTTTGCGTCACTAGTTTAGCATATTCAGCCTGGTTGTTGGCCCGGTAAGAACCTCGATTATGGAGGGCCAGAAAAAAGGTAAAAAGGTAGCCCTGAGCCGGAAAAGCAAAAAAAAACGGGCCACCGCTTAAACCGTGCTACGTGCTGCAGTGGAAAAGCCCCATTAGAGATGTCCCAATAGAAGCATGGGAGTGATGTCACTATGTTACGGAAGAACACAACGGAGTGGGAAAACCCAAAAAGGCACAATAGGACCCCTTTAAATGAATGTGCTTCTTGTAAATCATGTTTGGGAGAAGTTGGTCTTCTTGACTCACATCCAAACTATAAGCATACCCCAGGTGTAGTTTGGGTGAAACATATGAACGAGGAAAAAAGCTTCACTTTCTCTTTTCAGTTTTAGTCATTTGATTAACTTTCTCACTATTTCAGAAAATCCCATGATTTTGCATTTGAAAAACCTCTTTCTGCTTTTTTCTGTCTTTATTTCTTCGTCCTGTGGACAACAGAAAAGTACATGTTTACATCAAACTAAATGCCCTTCTAGACATATGCAGCCTCGATGAACTCTGCCTTGGTGCATGAGTCTATAACAGCAGCGCCTGAAATGGCATCATCTAGTGTGGTGATATGAATTTAGCTCATGAGAAACACAGATGAATTCGGCCCCCTTCGCTACAGGCCATGAAAATGTCTCTAGATTTCAAAGCCCATGTGTGGTACATGAGCGAAACTTCAGAGAGATCTGTCAGGCGATGTACCCAGCGTCTAGTGCAGGCTGAAAAAAAGAGAATCTAGTCTTTTACTTCCTGAACTTCAAAGGGGCCTCACTTTCTCAGTGTGGCCATCTAAAGGCTCAGTGGTGTTTGACCCATCTCTATACTTCTCTCTGGAGCTTCTTTCACCTTTTCTCCTACAGATACAGGGGTTTTGATTAACATTGCAGACCTTCAGACTCCTCTCTATAAACCACAGCAAAATTATTGTAGGAGCCTGAACCCCAGGATAAAAATGTTAGGAGGATATCGCTTCTGATATTGAAAACTTCTTGTTTTTTGCACTGCTGAACTTCAAAATCGTGCAGAAGTTTTTTGTTTGTTAAAAGAAAAAAAAGGCTTCCACTAATGTTTGGACTTGGATGGCTTCAGTTCTGCATTTGATCGAGGGATTGAAGAGAAAAGGGCGAGAACATTTTAGAAATTTTCGTAACATGAGGTTTGTGGTTTTTACGCAATATGACAATTAGCATTTTATCAAAGGTGGAAGGATGACACCTCCGCACCCATTTCCCCGATCCTTTTGTTTTTGCCGGAGAGTTGGTACACTTTTGCTTAGGTGTGTGTGTGACTGTGTATGACTGTATGTGAATGCATATGTGTGTCTTTAAGGGCAGCTTTTTAAGATAGAAATAGTCTTTTTTTTTTCTAATTATTGTATTTGAGAGCACACTGGCATGATCTCACACACACACACACACACACACACACACACACACACACACACACACACACACACACACACACACAGACACAGACACAGACACACAAACACGACCACACACACCCACGCACACACACAACAAACACACAAACAAAATACAATAATGGTCATTTCTTGTATACTCCATGTCGCAATAAAGACACAAGGCATTATCAGCATGTATTCAAGCCTTTGAAAGAAAAGATGGATGTAGTATCTTCATCATATTTTAAGAAACTACATCCTAAAAACTAAAACGCCATGTAACTGCACTCAGAATAGCTCTCATGCAGTTCAAAGGGGAACATTTTTCAACACTGTAACATAAAAGCTTTTAGAAAAACCTGCATATCATCTTTAAACTAGAACAATTACAAAAAGCTGTTAAAACAACAATTAAAAATACACAATTTATTTGGAGCAATTATTTAATTAAAGGCCGATACGTGTGTGTACCTACAATGGAAATATCAGTGTCCTATGTGACAGCGCACTTGTTTTTCTGATCATGAGAAACCCATGGCCTGAAACCTTCTGTCAAACACAAGTGTAGCATATTAGTGAGTTAATGCTCATCGACAGGCCACATCTCAATGCTCAGTGACCCGGAACAGGCCCGCTCAGGGCTCCGAATCCTCGCAGACCCGGGTGCTTGTTTTTTATCTCAATGTCAGTATCATCATCTCTACATCCGCCTACTCGAGATATCGCGCCGAGGTTTAACAATCAGAAAGTTGGTTTCTCACTTGATCACATCGCCTTTTTAAATGAGCATCGAGAAGCCATAACAGACATAGTTTTTTCAGACTGATTTCGATAAAGTCGATCCTAATATAAAAATCACCGGGTATTATTGCAAAGTAGGCAGCCTGCCTCCCGGGAGTAATGAGGAATTAAAATACACCACTTACGCAACACATGTAATAGGCTATGTATTGATTTGCCTCTGGATTAATTTCCCCATGTTTTTCGGGGTCAAGCAAATGTGTCAAAAGGTTTTCCAGCAACTCAGCTTGCAATTGCTATGTGCTCAATAACTTTTGACCAAAGCCTTTTTTGTTGACGATTAACAAATAAACATAAAAGAAAAGAATAATAATAACAAATTGTATATTGAAGTTTACTGAAATAAAATATTAAGTAGGCCTAAGCATTTTTATTTTGACAGGACTATCCATGTATATAATTTACTGTAAGCGTTTTCCATTACGGCTCTTATGTTAACTAGCTTTTGCGCAAAAGGAAAGCGTAAATCTATGATGCTAAACATGTTCAGACCGAGGTGATTCTCATCAAATAAATAAAGTAAAGCTGCCACCACCTCCGTCACCTGACGGCTGATGGGGATGCCTGCAAAGTAAACGGGAGCTAAATGATGAGTGAACCCTGACCTCCACTCAGCACAGACAGCATGACAGGGGTAATTTATTTAGTTTTCAAGTTCAGTTGTATAGGAAGCTGCAGTGTTGTGGTATGTGTTCTTCCACAAGATAAGAGTAGTGGTGGAGTGAATTTGAAAGTGTAAAGCCAAGTAGTTTTTAAAATGTCCTTAACCTATTTAATCAAATCTGATAAGAGAGGGCAGTATTTTGTTATTTTGGGAAAAAAGGTGATTATTGTTGTCTGTCACTTACCTCCCCTGTTTGGTGATTATCATCTCGGTTTGGAACTTGTGGAACTTGGCCCATAGCGGGTAGTTATTGAGCAGAGCCTGGGTCTTCCCGCACACCTGTAGCCCAGGTAAAGGGTAGAGAGACGGCCGCTGGTAGCCGTGCTGAAAGCTGGCCGTGTAGTTCTCCGGGGAAGGAGAGTACAAGTCTTTACCGGCTGTAGAAAACCCGTCTCCCGCCACGGAGATGTACCCCTGCACGGCTCCGCTTCTTGGCGGCGAGCGCACCCCGCCGTACGGGCAACTACCGAGGGGCTGTGCGTAAAACCTGCCCGGTTGCGCTCCGTACCCTCCCACCGCCTGCTCCGAGTGGTACGGCAGAGCCAGGGCGTCCTGCCCGCTCTGAACAGAGTCTGGGTAGTAAAACCTGGCGTCCTGGATCCCCATTTTAAACTCTGCTAGATCCTTGCCGCCGCGGTGGAGGTGACTGCCGATGTCCGTGCTCTTTCCGAAAGTTTGCGTTTCAGTCCCATTCAACATGCTGAGGTAAAGGTTGCCACCTATGCCGCCCATTAGCAGCCCCGCTCCTGGTCTGTGCGTAATGTCATAAGGCTCCGCTGTTGCGTCCAGTTCAATAAGAGCATGCACAATAAATACAAAGCACAAAACAACAGTGTGGACTGTTATTCTCAGCAGTGCACAGACATGCCACAACTTGTTAAATGCAGTGTCTCACTCGGTCAAAGCATTTAAGTGATCAGCTCACACCGCCTCATTAGGATATCTATCTATACACTTTGTTATTATCTTGTCTTATTTTGACGCGTGGAGTCGCTACTAGTGACTCAAACACACGCTCAGTTTTTCTAACCTATGATATATACATTTTGTAAGTGGTCATATTGTGGAGGTGTGTCTGATGTGGAGGGAGGACGTGATAGGCTCCAGATATGAAGCCTTCCCCCGATCACACATCACACACACTGCCCTTAGAAAAAAGGAAGTAAGTTGCTCTAAACATCGAAGAATCATATTATTTAAAATAAAAACACAACAGGAAATAACATACAAAAAAATAACTGATGTAATATAACAATTGAGTGCCAACAAACTCAATTTTGGGCACAATCTTGTCTATTTTCGTTCTTTACATTAATAATTAACGTTATCATGATAAGTGTCCTGCAAGGAATTGAATTAAAACTAAACATTATTCATTAGGCCAATGAATCAAATTATTTCTTATAAGACATAACATTAACTTAACTTAATATTAACTGCATATTTTTTCTTTGGGTTCATACGTTTTACGTCAGACCATTCTATGTTGTAAATGTAATTATAAGACGAATGATTAATAATACATTAAAAAAAATAACTTGTTTTTTCCTAATGGTTCTTCCTAAAAACATGGTTTGACACTGTAAGCTTATCGGTTAACACATAAGCGATATATGGTCATTTAATACAAAATGAAACAAAACATCTTTGCCTTTTTTTTGTCGCGTGATATAATATGAGTTTTTCTTTTTTTTAACGCATTTCTTTCACACGTTCGTCCCTGGTGACGGGTTAATACACAACCGGTTATTCTCATTTTTTATTTGAATGATAAATCTGTGATTTTTGTTAGTAATGACGAGTAATGAAGCTATGTGAATATTAAATGGCTTTAATTTCCCCTATTAGGCTATAACAGTCGTCACGTGTTAATTTATGAGAAGCATTTTTTAATTTGTATGAATTAAATACACATTTAATTGTGTATTTAATTCATACACAATTAATGTATTGTTTATGAATTAAATACACAAATAAATAAATTCAGGTCATGAAAACATGAAATTAATAAAAAATATGTTTTTATACTTTTCTCGCTTTCTTTTATTTGTTTTTGATAACTCACTAGAAAACCCTCTTAGAATGATAATGATGCCAGAAGGGGAAGTTAGTGAGTAGTTCAGCCTCTAAGATAAAAGACATGAGAAGAATCTCCCGGCAGAAATATTCAAAATGATCTCACTCCCAGCACAGGCCTGTGTTAGGCCCTCAGTATTTACATGTTTACATGGATCTTGGTGTTCGCCTTTATGATTTTCACATGCTTGGTGTTGTTGGTCACAAGTTGCCAGTTGTGGCAGCATCAGGGAAGGTTTCAGTCCCAGGCAAATGTTCATTATTAACTTTCACAAACGTGGTTGTTGAAGCATCATACAGCACTAACCAATCACATATCATTTGATATGGATGAAACAGAAAGGTTTGTAACACAGCAGCATTCTCTGCTCTTTAAAGGTAGGCTATAATCATTTACATATCTGTATGAAAACAAGTAGACATGTCATGTATTTGGTTGGGTTATATACATATGTTACACTAAATCCTTTAAACAATTTTAAACCCAGAGAAATCCATAATTGAGGTAACCCTTTGTTTCATTTCTTCGTCTTTAATCGCGTGGAATAGCCTACCCTTTGAGCATGTGTCACAGTTCTGGTTGTTCGTATATGCTTCCCCAGATTTACTTTTTTTATCCAGTTTTAATGAGTAACATTCCTTTGTAAAACGTTTTATGTCATTTTAAGATGATGAAAGATGTTGTTCTCCGGGTGCCTGGATCTTAAGTTCTCAGAAACAAGCCAAGCCAAGGTTAGCATTCAGATTTGTACGAGAAACTGCTTTATTCACATGTTTATTCTATTGAAATTGCTGCATCTGTTTGTTTTTGAGTGGAGCATACAAATGCAGGTAATTCGGCTCTCAATTGAGATGAACTTCCAAGTCCCGAGCTACTTTACGATGTCTCCAACATTATTTTGATTGAGAGACCCCTAGTGGCAGAAAATGTTGTACGTTTAAGAGCTTTTAGCGTCTTTTTTTATGTTGCTCATCAGCTCAGTGTGAACAGAGAATCATAATCTCAGGTGAAAGAGATAACCCTGGGGTATAAACAGCGACACACACATTAATAGTTGAAACCCTCCTCCAGTGCAGGTATGACACAGTTATCCCCCTCACACTGTCACCGCTGCGTGTCTCTCGTAGCAAGGTGAGCTCATAAGGGCACGCGCTGAAGTCATCAGTGTTGACACTGGTAGCGAGAGGGCAACAGTGTGAGCGACACAAGCGCCGCCACAGCCAGCCAGGCGTGTTCACCCCACCCCCCATCACCACCACCCTCCACCTCCAGCTGGAGTCACCATTTCCTCCGCTCAGCTCTTCCTGCTTCCGGAAACAGCCCCGGGCTATCACCTTGTGAAGCACAATCAGCTTTCATTTACTCCTGGAAGTGTTAATAGCACGTCAGGTGGCTCTCGTGTTCTCATGCATGGGAAAATCGTAGAGTGAAAGCAGAAATACAGAACAGGATACATCATTTTAATGTGGATGTAGATCCACCCTTTTCAACGAACAGATTACATTTGGATTTATCCAGAATCTGCTGATAGTTTGCACGTGTGCCTGCAGAAATGTCTGAGCTCCAGAAAAGGTCAGGTGAGAGGGCCTTCCCCTATTCTCCTTAAATACCAATACACGCAGCTATATCTCCTACTAACCCTATAAATGTAAACTGGTTTAAACCCTTTCAAGCTCTCTTTTTTTCTACTTTCTGTCTTGTTTTCCCGATTCATGTGCAAGTTCTGGAATATCAATGTCATTCATTCCAACATTAGCTAGCCTATATGCTAGTTTAGATAAGTAAATTTATCAGATCATGTGGTCGTCTGCCTGCATCTTTCCTTGCAAAAAATAGGCCTACAATTTTCAGATAGAGGCGGTTATCATTATGAAAGAAAAATATGAAATAGTGAATGTAAAACAAGCCTGGCCTCCATGATCCCCCGTCGGAGATGTGCCTCAGAAAGCTTTCCCCTTTTTTACCCCCTTATAGGCACTGTATCTCATTCTGTGTGAGAGGATGTTCTGAAAAGTGAATTATAATCGCCCTCATACTTGCAGACATGATGGGCAACTGGACACTAGTAAAATCTTGACGGCTGTAAAATAATCTTGTAAAAAGTGAGTGTGGTGGACTTGAGCTGACAGATTTAGACATGATAGATGGGCACATTCGCAGATGTCTTAACGTGTCTTCATTAACAGTTTCCCTGACCGCTCAATTAAAACGGATGATATCTTGTGAAAAGGAAGACATGGCGATGATAACCAGGTTGTGAGAAATACAGTACACCCTGAAATCATCTGGTTGTTAAAAATATATAACAGGTTTTTTATATCTGTAATAAATGACAGTTTGGATTTCTCACTCACATTAAAGACATCAGTTTGCGTGAGATGAAGAAGTTGTAAGGCAGTGAAAAAGCATCTGAACCTTCTTCCCAAGCACTTTTTCCAATGTTGGTGTTTCAGACAATTTTTGTAACTTTCAGAAGCCAGGGATTGAACAATAACACTTGATTCAGGGAGCTGTTGCTCAGGTAGATCAAAACCGAAGTTAAGAGCATTCTATCAAGTCAAAGTTCATGTTCTGTTGGGACAGTCATCCCGGCCTCTTACGGCATTAATAAAGTCCTATAACATCTCCCAACTTCCTTCTTTGTTCCTGACAATCCTGCCTGGTATCAACAAATGGCATTAAATAACACACCAATTTGTTTTTGCATACAACCACTACACAGTCTTTGCTTTTAATGTGTCATTTTCTGCTTCATTTATATTGAATTCTCATTAAGTCATATTACTTCCTTTCACCCAAAAAAAGCAGTTTCTCTCTAGCGTCTAACACAAACAGTTAATATACATTGACAACTTAACTTACGTAACTTCATTTATGTAAGAAACATCATTAAAAACCCAACCCAAACTATGATCTTTTTTAGAAACACAACCAATCTGTTTTTGTAATTTTCACTTTGATTTTAAAACTGCATGTGATGAAAGGGAACGCTTTAGGTGGGTATAGTTTTGATGCTGACAGCGCTTAGTTTACAGCTTGTTTCAGCTGCATCTGCACTGGAAAGACCACCGGCCCCCATTTGAAACCTGAGTAGGCTACATGTTTCTCTAACTCATGACCACAATGTTCACTATGTCAAACGCATATTTATGCTTGTTGGTAAAACTAATTTCCTGTATACTGTATTCCAGCCAAAACAGCTTGATTGAATACTCAGCCTAACTTCTTAATAATGTGTTTTTTAATTTGACTGTTATCCTCATTGCTTCAAGTTTCAAGTCAACTATTCCTTTCAGGTGTAACACCACCTCAGCCATAAATATACGCGTCTGGACATAATGCCGATGTGGGTGGGCATGACATGTCTGACAGACTTCACAAATCAAACCCGGTGCACAGGCTGAGCCAGGGCATTAGTTTCACTGGGACTCCAGTTTGGTGCACATAGAAGGCAGTCTAATTACAAAATATGACGTTTCCTCACGTAGCATTAGAGATTTATGTCTTGCTTCCAAGTGAAAATAACTATGTAGTCATTAAATCATAAGAATCTCTGAGTTTGATGAACTACCGGACACTGATTTATTTATCTGACGTAATTAGGCAGTTGAAATCATCAAAAGGAGTGTAATCTATGATGAGCAGGAAAATATTTATGTTGTTAAATCCATACTTTGTATTTCAAGTCCTGAATAGTATACACTGTATATACATGTTCTTTGGAGGCTTTTGAATCTAAAAACCAACTCACACAGTAAGAGTTTGCCGTTTTAGATTTAATAAGAGGGAGTCATTTTCAAATACTTATTTTTTGTCTAAAATGCCCAATTGTGACTCCTTTGTTCTTGAAATCTTGTTTTGTTCCATTGTATCTCCATTTTAGGAGCACCAGTAACCAGTACTTTATTG